AATTTTTCTTATGCCGCAAATCTGAAATTGCTGTATATAATAAGGTTGGTTGTTATGTAGACTAAATTGACTTGCTTTGCCAGAATCTGTGTTCCCTCTCCGTTCGAAATTCATCAAGGCATTTTCGAGAACACAATAGCAGAAACAATAAATATTAGTTTGAAACACAAAACAAATAGTATATTCGATGAGTTCATTTTCAAATAATAACACAATAGAGTCATTACGGAAATATAATTGATGACATACAAAGTACTTCACTGATGTATCGAACACAGTGAAACAAGAGCCATCTTTCACTTCGTCTCGGGACTTTTTTTGAAATTCCTTTCCAAATTCCTAATACTCACCTAGAGCTCGTCCTAGAATCCTCTTTCTAGACTTGATCAAGTACGGGTATCTCAATTTGGGCACTTTTGCGGGGTATCTTCCTTATCAGTAAAGATAGAGCATTGCGGTTTTCGCGACAGTGTGCTACATTTTTATGAAATTAATAATGGCGCAAGCAGAATTGTGATAGCCCTTCTGGTTGTCGAGATACAGGGCGGAATTGAAAAATATCACTTTTCAGGCACCCTCGTGTCTCAGTTATCATTGAACTTATCGAAGAAGTTGAAACTTGTTCGTATTGTTTTTTTTTTTCGTAGAATCCAGTGGCATAGTTATTTTTTGCTAGCATCTTTTGTTTTTTATTATGGAGAAAACATTATGTTTCTTTAAATGGAACACCCTGTATATTATTCCATATATTTATTGAGCGTGAAGTGGGCTTTCCAGAAATATATAATTATATTCAATTATTTTCAAAAACAAGCTCAGAATTTCAGATTTTCAAAAAAAAAATTTTTGGTAGAGGAATATGGCTAAACTTCATTGAAAACAAAATTTATGTGAGTCATTATTATACTTTTTATACTTTCAAACTCAATTGATCATTCTAGAACACGTGATTTTGACATGGTTTCTTGAGGGGCAAACAAACTATCTGTTAGGTTACCTTTGATGAGCATAGCCCTGGCCATCCCTGCCACATCTACAATATAATAACAGTTTCACCAAACAAAATTATGGAATTCTTTCTGGTACCAACTCGGATTCCAAGGAAAACGATCCCACATTATTCTGATTTAATATGACTAATGTTGACAAAATAAAATGTTTGCCCCTCAGCAACCGTCAAATGACGTAATTCTGGCATGATTAATTCAAATAATATTTTTTGATTTCTCATTCCTTAATTATTTATTACATCATTCAAACTCAATTATTATGATGAATAACAACAAACACCAAACCTATTTTACTTATAATTCGACGTAGAAAATAGCAAATACAAGCACAATTCTGAAAATGCAAAGAGGTTTCATAGGTGGTTTTCAAAATGACGACCATTTTCCTATAAATAAAATTGGCACATTTTTTAATTCCACCCTGTATCTCGATAACCGGAAGAGCTATCACAATTCTGCTTGCGCCATTATTAATTTCATAAAAAAGTAGCACACTGCACGAAAACCGCAATTCTCTATCTTTACTGATAAGGGAGATACCCCGCAAAAGTGCCCAAATTGGGATACCCTGTACTACAGCTTCTTGAGCAGTGGCGTAACTACCATAAGACAATTGAGCGCAATGCGTTGGGGCCCCCAAGCTTGAGGAAAAAGAAAACTTGAATATGCGAATATTTGAAACAGTTCCTAATATTGTTGTTTTTTTTTCAACTGAATCTAGGGACACTTCTGTCAAGCAAACATTATTTTTACTATGTTCTGCATTAGTTCTGGGCGCGACTCATGACGCTGACTGTCAGCGGTCAGTTAACAAATAAATTTACAGGGTTCAATAAAGTGAGTGATATCTTTTCATTCTTACAACCTAAAAATTTCATAAATTCAACAGAGTCTGAAATCCTTGAGAGGTGTGACTACATTAAAAAAAAATATTCTCGAATCATATCACCAAATATGTCTTTACAATTTATTAACATGGTTACATTGTTGAGATCAGAGTTAAATCCAGAAATGTCTGTAAAAAATTTTGCCGATTTATTGTTAATGAAATATAATTATTAATTTGTGGTGTGACTTTCCACAAGTTTATATTATCCTATTATTATTTTTAACCATGCCAATTACATCTGCGTCAGCTGAAAGATTATTTAGTAAATTGAAACTGATCAAAAGTTATTTGAGGAATCAAATAGGGCAAGAGCGATTAAATTATTTATCGTTTTTCCATCGAAAGTGAAGCTGCCAACAAATCAGACCTGAGGGATTTGATAAATGAATTTGCAATGTGTAAGCGTAAGCCGAAAAAAAAACATTCATCGTTCAATAATTCTAGTTTGAATGTAAAGTTGAAGGTATTTGAAGTTGATGTTTTTATTCAATGAAAGAATACGTTGAGTTTCATTTTACTCAGGAAATCTGAAGTTATTTTGAAGTTTTTTATTATTCATGAAAAAAATATGTTGTTACTGGATAGAATATCAAAAAAATAATGCCTTTTCAGTTCGTTGTTTCATTTTTTTTTACTATTTGTGATTTGTGACTGAAAGGGGGCCCCCTTATGTATTTTGCGTTGGGGTTAAAACATTCTAGTTACGCCACTGTTCTTGAGTAGTACAACTAAGAAGACAACATAATGCAGTCGCCCAAGATATACAGGAACAGTGTGGTGGAACAGTATGCAGATATAGGAAATACTCTGGACTATCTCAACTGTTGCTGAAGTTTCCTGCGAGTGATCTTGCGAACATAAATCTTTTCATAAGCAACGCCAAGGCAATTTATATGCTAAAGTATTTAATGCTCACTAACTGTCCGCATACATTATAAGAGAGCAGCAATAACAGGATTAGTGTATCCAACTTCCTAATTCCCCTATTATAAGCTCCCATAACAGGAGCTCTAATCTTGTTTGTATCGGAATAAAAATTACTAGTCTTAAGACGGAATACTTGAACATAGAGAAGGAAAACACGCAGAACAGACATTTTATCAAATTAGGAGTATTTTGTGAGTATGTATCGCTACCTTATTTCAGCATCCTATTATTTTATTATTTTTATCAATAAATATCGTAAACAGTCTAAAACATCGACAATGACTCTTCTTCGTTGGAAATGGAAAGAATAATTGAGAAAAAAGATTCATACTCAAGTGACAAATATGTTCGAATTCTCCTTTTCAACTTTCAATTTAGGCAGCTTGACCTTGGAAGATAAAAAAAATTGCCTGGGGCGCAATTTTCCTTAATTTTTTCCCAGTTTTTTTCAAATTCGAAACTCATCACTGCAAGAACTATAGGTACAGGGTGATTGTTTCTATTTTACTCAATAGCTAGCACCTGCCTTAGATCTATATCAAAAAATCAGATTTTTTTAAAAAACTGACAGAAGATGAAATATATATATTGGAAATCAATGAAATATAGGGTGTTCCTTTTGAAATATACCATCCTATGTAAAATTGTTAGGTTCACGATGCTTTTTTGCATTTTCTAGTAATATATTATGAATTCCCATAAAAAAATACGTAACTTTTGCCGATTTGAACGTTTCTGTAGGACCAATATTAACTGAGATAGTCATTGAGTTAAATATCACCCTGTACATATACATTTACACTTTTGTTTCGGTCATCAACAACGTGCCTTCAGCTCTAGGGATGAAACATTTTCTCAATGAACTGAGGCCCTATATAAACTGAGGAAAAAGCACTTATTAAATTTTCACGTAATGTCTCAAATGATGACTGTTATTCAATTTCGAATCATATATAGTCACTCATGTTACGTATAAAAATTGTGCCAACGACTAGTTGCCATAACAACAGGAGACGTTTTATTGGGAGTATATGAATTAACTTCATTGGTCTCTTTGTATATTGACAATAATGTCTAAACCTATAATAATTAACGCAGACGCGTCATATTACCGTAACTTGTTATCGAATCACCCTAATAGGTGAAATGAATAACGATCGTTGACGAATGTTTCTCGAATACAAACGAACAAGAATGTTCACGGAAAATCGGGAAAATTGGCACACTCCGCGTGCACCTCGTAACAGCTATCAGAATTACGTAGGTCCAGTCGGTATGTAAACTCGTGCGTCGTGCATTTCCTCTGTTAAATATGGTTGTGAGTTCTGATGCTAAATTGTAATCGAGTGGGGTCTCGAAAAACTGATGGTTAGAAGTGTTAAGTGTGGGATTGAGCGAGATATTTCGGAGTGATATTTTAGTTTGAAATGTTGGAGTTGTTTCATTTTCAACCAATGAGTACTCTGAATGTATGAGGTATGATTAAATCATTTTCTCTATTATCGAACTTGCTTTTTCCAAAGTTCAATTTCATTATTTTCTTCCATCCGCACAGTTCAGTTCAGGTCTTCTCCGACTTCATGACAGCATTCATATTTTTGTTGCAGCAATTTATCGTCATACCTATACACGTTAGGTATATAGGTCAGATTGATCATCAAATTATTATATAAAATGAATGAAAATAATATGATCTATGGACATAAAACCTGTGTATTGAAATACATAATGACTAGATATTTCAAATTGATAATTTATTTATTGATTGTGTCAAAGCAGCTATCATATCAGCTGTCATCCAACACGTTTCTAGTTCTTAGGAGTCAAACTTTAGCTCCTAGACACTAATAGTATTGCCTAGCAACATCCATATACTAATCATTTTATTAGGTCAATAAGAAAAACGTCAACTTCAAGAGCTAATTTTGGAACAAAAATGGACGACTTTTGAGCCGATTGCAGAGAAACTCATATATACCACATGTACTTCAAAGCTCCTGGAGTTTTATTTTGGATCAATCGATGCATCACAAAGGTAGTACTCAGTTCAAGTGATGTCTCAGAACTGATAAATTTCGACAATAGAGACACTGCCTGTTTAGTTGAATAATCGCATAAATGTGTGGTTTGGGTTAGAGAGTGAAACAATAATGTCGATTTTTGAAAATTTTATTATAGATCTTTGGTCAAATCATTTGGTATAATAATTGGATACATTTTTGTACTGTACACAAAAGATAAAAATTGGCACCTATTTAACATAATAATGAAACTCATTTCTTCTCATATTTACATTGATAACTAACAAAAATAATGGAATATAAACTATTCTTAAAACATAAAATGGCATATGAACCTAAAACTAGAGAATTACCATAAATATGATGGCCATGTTGTAACGCATGTATTGTTTGAATATACATTATGATACATTATTTCTGTGAGTATTTTATTTGTGGGTAGTTTGATGGAACCTTACCATCGAACTTGAAATAACACGTTATGATTTATTTAATAAAAAATCAGTGAAGTTTTATGTAACCATATTCAACAACATGATTTTTTCTAGATGTTGTAAATTGAAGAAATACACATCTGCCAATGAAAAAAAATTCCATACTTATCATTTTCCACAATCAATATCACATAGTTACTATTGTTTATTGGAAAATTGACCCCCTACCAAGAATTCTAGAGAAATTTGATATACTGACTGTGTTTTCTCAATGTTATATAAAGATTTTATTAGTTGTGGTACTTGATGATGATACTTATATACAATGCGGAAAAATATACAGTAATGGATATAAGTTCAGTCATATGAGAACAGGACAAATACAGAAGTTCAACATACTTGATATCGCATTCATTCATAAAAAAAATCTAGTATTGAACAACATGCTTGTACAAATCTGGTAAAAATATGTCCACCCACTCAACATTCACAAGGGGAATAATTTTATTCAAATGAATGTAATATCTGAAAAACTGAGCATATGACTATGGAATGTCTTTCATTTCCTCGATGGGACATATCGACTATCAATTAAATCCGTACATATGGAAATATATACAATATTGCACATTCTTCTAAATAATGGTATACACCTTGAGCATTAAAAAACAATCATATCTCTAACTATTTACAGTAAGTCGAGCTTATAACAAACTGGTATTTTTATTCGATATATACAGAGTGAATCGTTTAGGAGTTTTTTATGAGTATTGTTTATATTCTGTTAAGCCAATAGATTAACCCAAGAACATATCTAGATACCTGAAGCATTGATGTATCTTTTTATGAATATTTATCACAGCTCAAAATGAATCATGATGATAACAAAGATGCTGGTGTGTTTTTGCTGACTCAAGCTGTGATTGGTAAAAAGTTGAAATCTATCGGATTAATTGGTACTGAACTGTCATATCAAATTCAAAAATTATAGTGTAAATTCTCGATAACCTAGCTTCGAGATCATCAAGTGGAAATTTCAATGCTAATCCTTTTTCAATAAGTTTCGGCATTCAACCTTAGATACAAATCTGCCACGAGCTGGAATGAAATATTCCACAAAGAATTCCTTGCAAGAAAAAATCGCAGGCTCAAAAACTACAAACTGTTTTTTAGCGTGTCATGATTAGGCATCATCCAAATGAACGATATTCGAACAAGTATCAACTGATGGCGTTGAAACCAAAAATTCATTGGCAATGCAAGAATCTTGCTGAGAATCACTTCTGAGAAACCAATCAGAACTAGAGTCAACGCATTGAACGTTACCTAAAACACATACCTTGATGAAGGGAACTTGTATACAGAGCATATCCAAAACTGAGGCAACTTATGACGTGGAAAATAGAAAATGATTGAAAGGAAATTTTTGTGTTCATCCAATATCAATTTTGATTACCACTTTCATTCAAATTATTTGGAAACGTTGCATAGAAATACACTTTATCTACCTAAGCAGAGAAAGTACAGTTTAGCTGCCTGTTGAGTGTCATAGAAGAACTACTATTTTTTGAGTCGTTCCAAAAAATTGTTTTTTCCTCCAAACGGTATGGAAAGTGGCTTTTCTACGACACTACACAGGCAGCAAAGGTGTGCTCTCTCTGCCTAGACAGAAAAAATATGCTGCTATGCAACGTTCCAAGTACTTTGAATGAAATTTGTGGTCAACATTGACACTGACATTGTAAGAACACAAAACGATAGATTTTTCAATAAAAAATTATACAAAATTGATTTTATAACATTTGGAGAAACAATTGAATGTTAGTAGATTGACTGCCTTGGCTGAATCAGCCACATCAGTGAATTTCCTACTTTGGTGCCTAGTAAAACAAATGATTATATTTTTGCGATTCACTTCTTCATTGCATCTCATAAAAAAACACCTCAATTTTTCAATCGCTTCAATTTCGAAAACACTCAATACAACTCGACCTCTCAATTCTGTCCATCAAATTCACTCGAACAGAAAAGAAGTCACCGACACTGCCGAACGTTCGGTCTTACTGCGCAAGCGCAAGATCACAGTTTTCAGTATTTTCAGCTGGTGGCGCCCAACGAGAGTGGCCCGTTCTTGAGGTGGCCGGGCCCCTGGAAGGCCTGGCCGGCCATAGAACCGGGCGGCGGCTGGCCGGAGCCCGACATGTTGTTGTTGAGGTCGCCGTTAGATGGCGGCAGCTGGGGTCGGTGGCCGTTCATCAGGTGGCCTGGGAGAGACACCTGCAATAAAGGGATACTATAAGACTACTTGAATGGAATGGCGACCGTTGAATATGATTTCTGGTGTTGAGTTAGCGGAAATTCGGTCGAAATGTTGAAGAAAACAAATTGTTGAATTGTCGACGTTTCGAAACTTTATTGTTTCATCTTCAGGACACCGAAGTAAAAAAACAAGAGCCTACATATTGAAATGATATTTTGAAATGAGGGGTTTTGATAAAAACAAAATAAATTGTGTAAAATAACAATCGTTGAGAACGAAACACTTCTAACACAGCAGAGATAGTAAAAATATACACATTCCGCTGAACACAGTGAAATATCCCACTAGCCTGGCAGAACATTGTAAGTCATCACTCCATACCTTTGACTTCCTGTCAGTATCATACGACAACAGACAATATTGAAGAAAATACTCTTGAACGAAATGATTGAAATAACAAATAATAAATCTGATAACAAAAGATCGGATATTGAGAATTCACACACCTCATATTTCAATCTGATAAAAAAATCAAACATTAATTCAGCCCTTGATATCTTCAAGGCATTCGATCGAGTCTGGCACCACGGACTCCTCGCCATGCTTTCATCTTATGGCTTGCCTCCCCAGCCATGTTCTCTGCTAGCCAGTTTTTTCTCAAACAGGTCTCTCCATGTGGTGGTCGGCGGAGTTTCATCTGACTCTCTTATCATAAATGCTGGTGTTCCTCAAGGATCAATTTAAGCACCAACACTATTTCTACTCCATCTCAACGATTTGTTGGAAGCAACGTCATGATGTCCAGTACACAGCTTCGCGGATGATAGTACCCTCCATACCGCCTCCTCTTCCAGGGCTCCAATACCAGCCAGGCAAATCAGAAACGAACAAGGAAGAAATGTTGACAACATAAATATGGACTTGACAACAATTCTCGAATGGGGATCCAATAAGTTGGTAGATTTCAATGCAAACAAAACACAAGCATGCCTTTTCTCTAGAAAAGCCGACCTCACTGTGCCCGACATAAGATTATCAGGAGTAACCATACCTTTGAAGATGCTTGGTATAACTATCAGCAATAACCTTTCTTGGGAAAATCACGTGAGATCAATTGCTAAAAGTGCATCCCAAAAACTTGGTTTTCTGATTCGTGCCAGCTGCTTATGATCTATGAGGCACATATCCGACCTGTCCTGGAATACTGTTCCCATATTTGGAGTGCAGCACCCAGACATACCCTGAAACTGTTGGATTCTGTCAAAAAAAGGGCAATTCGTCTCGTGGGTGATGCCTCGCTCACAAACTAACTCACTTCTCTGGAACAACGTAGAAAAGTTTGCGATCTGCCTCTATATAATAGAGATTTTCATGGACGATGCTCTTCTGAAAAATCAACAATTGTTCCTCCCTTGGCAGTCCCCGCAAAATTAACACGGCGAGTTGAGGCTTCGCACCCCTTCGTGGTCACTTTGGAGACCTACAGAACATCTCTTTCCAAAGACTCGTTCATCCAACGAACAGCGAGGCTCTGGAACATATTGCCATGGGAGGTGTTCCCCAAGGCATATAACCACCAGAAATTTAAGAAGAACACCAATTCCTACCTTATTCTCCTCGGTTCTTACGATGTTCTCTGAACATTACAGGATATCCCTCTTCGTGGGAACCAGAACATAAAAAAAAGGAATGATCAGCAGACGACTTTTTCCAATCCCGATTATTATTTCTTTCACTAGCCTTTTTTGCAATATAAAGAAACGATTCAGAGACAGTTCAGTTTGTTCAGTTCTTGTCGTGTTAAGGTCTTTCATGAACTTGTGTATACGTATTTCTACTTCATGTCGATTTTATTTATTTCACCATTTTTGAACCCTTAATGTAAGTACCTATCAATGTTGTTTTCTGTGAAGTGCTAAATGTGTTATTTTCTCAACGATTGTCATTTTACACAATTTATTTTGTCTTTATCATTTCAAAATATCATTTTAATATGTATGTTCTTGTTTTTTTACTCCATTGTCCTGAAAATGAAACGATAAAGTTTCTAAACGTCGACAATTCAACAAATGGTTTATTTCAACATTTCGACCGAATTACCGCTTCAACATCAGAAATTATAAGAATTTTGTGAAGTTTTTACATTTGCGATGGATTTCCATCAAGTAACGGCCGAGTCAATTAAAAAAAAAACACAAAATATTGGGATGGTATCTTACCGGTGGTATCTGCCTTTTCAAATGCGATAATGGTGGTGGATTGTAAGCCATATTCGCAAAAACTAAACGTTCCTCGTAGTCGTATTCACACAGGATTTTATTTTCGCATAAATAAAACCTATCTCCAACACAGAACCTGTAACAAAGAGAAAATATTTGAAACAACAATTCTAGTTTTCAATATATAATACCTTTCCCTCCCCCCAAAACACAGAATTGAATTGTAGTTAGAAGGTTCCTATATTGTTTCAGGTCACAGCAATATAACCGATTGAGTATAGGGAACCCTGAAAAGGGTACTAATTCTTGAAGCTCGAGGTACAACGCTGTGAATATATGCATATAAGTGTAGGTCACGATTGCATGCAAAATAGCTTGCAAAAAATCTATCATCAGTCTATAAAATATTGTATCAGTATCGAATCGACTCGTGGCATCTTGATTTTGGTTGCTCAGAAGACAAAACGTCAATGTCATTCGCGGTCAACTCTCTGAATAAGAGAAATCTGAAGAGTATCTTCCATGCAGTAAGGAATTTGCGCCTTCGAAGAGCCCATTTCTGATGTAAGGTTAGATGTTTGTTATTCTCATTTCATTATCTGAATAATCACGAGTCCCAAAAAACGTTTTCTAGTAATTGATATCTAGAGTACCGACTTATAGGGTAGTCTGATTGTTGGATAATTTGTGTCCAAGTGTTGAAATCATGATTAAATATGGCCTGGTGCGCGTGGCATGAAATTATGGTTGCGCAGTGAACAAAACGGGGCAGCGAACATCAATTGTGCGACTACTTGATCTTCAGAACTCTACTTTGATAAGGTCATCTGTAGGATCATTAGATGCGACATGGCTTTATTAGATCAATATCAGGGTTGTTATCAATATTACTTTCAATTTGTCCGAATATTTCCCCCATATATGAAATTTCTCATAGGATCAATGCAATTAACGAAAAATTACAGCGGTAATTGCACTGCAGAGCGAAGATTGCATTGTGAAAACATCCCTTCGTCATAAATCGTGTCTCATAGCACATTTCATTCATATAGTCTTCGTCAGTATTATGATATTTGATATTTCTCAGAAAAACAAACAACATTTCTTTATTCGTGAAATATTTCATTGAATTAAATTCGTTTATAAAAATGGCCAGATAATTTTGCATTCAAGCATGTTATCTTATACAAATTGCTTTCGGTTACTTCCATATTTTGTAAAGGACCCCTCCTCTTTCGGACTCGGCTCTTTCGCCAAAATGTGAAAATGAACATGCACTTCTAGATAACACGCTCTCTTGCAAAATTATCGGTAATTTTTATGCACTTGTGCAATTATAACCGAAAATAGCCTAACGACTATTGGCATCATACCTAACCTGACAAATTTGAATGGAAATATATCTCAATAATAATAGCCATCATTGCGAGTATTTTCCTAATATTTTCATTTAGGGAGACGAGGGGAGAAAATTTGAGAAATTTCGAGTAACGACTATTCCACCTCATTGACATTTTTTTAAATGTATCTATAGCAGTCACGATTTACCAATTTCATGAGTAAATTCATACTCCATGATTACATACTTCTTTTAATGTGTGCAAACCGAGGTCCAGACACTCCTGATGGCTTCATATTAGTCACGCTATACTTTGTTTCTGAACCAACGCTGTTTCATGCAGTTCCAAACTCCTATATTAACGGTCTGTTAAAAATTAATTAAATTTTCTCCATGTTATGTTTTTTTTTAAACGAAATATATTGTCCAGACAGACGACGTTCGGGCTGCTATATACCCCTTTCCCTCATTGTTTAGCATCGTGTTTTCCAGTTTGCTGAAATATCACAGTAGGACAGTAGGTATTCATCCATGTGTAATAATCCACTTTTATTGTTTGCAATTATTAATATATTTAACTGCATTAGCTAGCGGTCTGCGCGATATATTGTCATGTATATAATTGCCGTTTTTGTTTCCGATTGTGTTTTATTAGGCCATTGTGCTTTTTCTATTAGATTTTGTTTTGTTTTCGGCATGACTATTGTTTCATGCTTTTCGGATAATTTGACAATGGAATGATGTTCTTTTTGAGTGTAACTGGATCGCGCAATGTATATAACGTTTTGTTTGCATTTTTTATACATACGTCGACAACAATGAAATTACACTACAGATGCATTTCCTGTTTTGTATATTGTTTGCCTAGTCGCTTTCATATTATAATTGGGCCAGGAAACTTCACATATTTTCCACGAATACTTTCGATATTAAAAATTCGTTACGGAATACATTTTCATTTCACTGAACAAACACTTTGGTCTAGTAGGTATATTGAATATACGGATATAACGTCAATTCAGTTTCACGTTTCACAATGAAAAACCTCTTGTTATTTCATAAATCAATGAGGATATATTAGATTCACTAAACAATAAATAGCTATTTGTACTTGATGATTGATTTCAATACGAATCCGTTTCAAAGAGATAAATGTTGTAGACTGCAGGATTTTGTTCTTATTGTATTATAGAAAATTCAGATAGGGACTGACATATCCTGAAATTTTAATCAGTCCATCTGAGTCCCTTGGCTAATACTCGCGGAAGATGACGCTTCAAGAAAAATAAAGCGGCTACCAGCAGTGGCAGAACTGAGGGGACAGGACTTTGGACACTTTGGAGCTATACTGCTGAATTTTTCTATTTTGCGTCTTTAATGAACTCATTATGACACCCAAATGCGTACCGGAACAGCTTCTATTAAGACACGCTGAATTCCTTTTTACAATGTTGGTAACGCCAAACTGTCGGACACACTAGCGAGTAGCGTCTAGAGACTGGTCTACATCTGGTATAAATGAAGTTTCTAGCCGAGAGCTTCGCTCAAAAACACGAGAAGAAACTGAAGATACTGAAGAAAGACTAACCTCAGAAAAGAACGGCTGCAGAACGATGTATCACATATTATCATATTTTATGACCGAAATAATCTATAATAATCATTTAATCAATTGTTGCTCAATTGTTATCACATGCATCCACTATAACATTACAGGTATCTTGAGCATTTATTATCGAATTTGCTGTTATTGACACGAAATTGCGCTCCTTAGTCTGATTATTTAGGTTATTGTTAGTGCAATGCGACTGTTAAGTGTGATCAGAATCAGAATGTCAATGTGTAGAAGTTGAAGGCTGAGAAGAATACATTTGAGCTACCTCAATTTTCCTCTTCAAAGAAGCTTCTATGTAACCTTCAGGAACTGCTGAGGATTTCCATGCTCCATGGACCTTCATAGTGACCAAATCACTGCCTCTATTTGCTAAATGGGACAAACTAAATTGCCGAAAACAATTTTCTGTATAGCCGTATCGGCAAATTCCCTCACTACAGGAGGGGTGGAACTCAAGTTTACCTCTTCAGTCTTTTTCAGAATAGAAAATTCATATTTTCAATAGATTAAAAATTTCAAATTGATTCACTGGAATAATGATGTTAATTTGAATAGATTTTGGAATAAACATTCAAATGTTTTTTCATTGTTATACCAACTATACTTCGTATATATATTTCTAATATTTGATGTTTTTATTGATGAAATTGTTCGAATAAAAGAGCACAAATGAATGCAAAATAGGAAACTAGTATATTACACACATTTTATTATTTTTGCACTAGTTTTTTGAAGTGTGCGACAAAATACTTTATTTTGTCGCACGCTTGTATAATGATATACTATTGCAGAACAACATGAAACTTTGTCCTAAGATTATTTGAGGAACTTGCGTGCGAATCCAGCTATATCCATTTCAGTAAAATTTTGGGAAAATGATAAAGAAAACTCCCCAGTGCCTGGCCTCTACAGATAAAAATGATTCACACTTAGATTTTGTGGGCTTCAATATGACTTCAATGTGCTTCATTTTGATGAGAATTGTTTGGATATAGCCGGGTTTGCTTCCAAAACCACTGTTAAATGTGACAACAGATTCACCTTTTGGATATATCAACGGAATAATTTAGTGAATCAGAAAATTAGCACATTCTTGTTGAAAAAATAAAATAAAATGAAAGAAAAGTTAACTAATAAGTAATATTTCAATACTACAAGTTTCTCGTGAAGGCAAACGTGGATTTGCTGGTTTTGCTCACAGATCTCAATTTTGCTCCATAACCTACTTTTTAAATGTAATTAACACTGATTGGATTGGATAGAACCGAGTTACTTCAATAGTCGATAGAAATATGTAGCTACGAAATCGCCAAAAAAACAAAAATGGATATATAACCAGTTTTAAACGCAGGCACCTCATTCGTGAACACTACATTATACTGTCTTCTGAGTTTTGATTAATTAATATTTGAAAAACTCTACTTTTAATTCAAATGCATTCGACCATGAACGAAAAAAATTTACTTTTTTGACCGTCTCCTCTTGAACTTTTCAAGTTAAGTAATTTTGCATTTGCGAGGCGGAGCGTTTAGCGAAGCCGAGCGAAAGCAAAATTTGCGAGTCGAACAAAGTCACTTTTGATCCGAATGAAACATGCTATTTTTTCTGCAACCGAAACAATTAACTCAAATAAACATGTGAAGTAACCACCAATGCCGTGCCATAAGAATGCAATGCAACAAATATTGACAAATAATCCATGTGGTGAGAATATTCTACCTGCATTTACAGCAGGTTAGGTTTTCTAGGATGTTCGAATTGTAGTTTCAATATAAATACAACCACAGAGTGACATATTTGTGTATGGACCAGGTCACCGTTCGGTGACCAGGTGCTCTAATGGCAAATACCGCGCCAGAGCCAGCTATAGGAACAAGACGTGGAAAATGTTAGGTTAGTGAGCATATCAACAATGATAATAGTAATTATTTATTCCTCTCCATACTACACTGTGTTTGACTTGATAATCAAATGAAGCTAAACAATATCGTTGTTTGAGACGAAAAAACTATTGCTTGACGTGATTATTCAAAAACAAGAGAATCCATCCCGAGAATAACGAATGAAATACAGATCAAGCAAGTATTTGAATCTTGAAGCTTGAAGGCTTCCCTGATCAAAACAAAAATACTCAACTGAGATGTTTATAATTCCAATACTTAACTATAATAAGGTGTATTTA